GTTAAGTGAATCACTGTGATCATTAAGCAAATCACATGGTTGTTAAGTGAATCCCTACTGATTTTGCTTGCTGAAAGCTGGCTGGCAAGGTCGCAAATGGTGATCATGTGACCCCGAGATGCTGCAACCATCATAAGTGCGAGCTGGTTTCCAAGTGCCCGGATCGTGATCACATGACCCTAGGAGTGCTGAGATGGTTATAACTTTGGGCACCAGCCATGAGTCACTTTTTTTTAGCACCGTTGTAACTTCAAATGGTCACTAAATGAATGGTTGTTAAGCAAGGACTACCTGTAACACAAATGGTTATGTAAAGTTCAAGCTCCTGACCCCGTCTTTAGTACTTCTCTCTGTGTTTATTGTAGGGCTATTCTAACTGGTCTTCAAAAAAAAAAAGCCCGGATGATCATTAGCTGGCAGCCACGTTTTGTGTATTTTTTTGCTGCTCCTGAGTGAGTCTGGATTTTTGCAGCTCAGAGAAGGTAGCCCTCGGAGATTAATGATCAACTAGAGAATCTACAAAACTCTCTCTAGCGGCAAAGCCCCAAAGGATCATTTAGGTGCCTTGGAGTAAGAAAATAAAAATAAAAATGTGAGACAGCATTTTCCATGCATTAAAGTTAACGCTCGAAGAAAGAACACAAAAAGAGAACTGTACAGAAATAACATAAACTGACATTTTAAAAACAGCAAAGCAAAAACAAAGCAATTGGTCCTAAGAGTTTTGTGCAGACTTGAGTATACTATACAGGACGGAGGTTTTCACATCTGGCTGGATTCAAACATCATGCTAAGCTATAATGGGGTTGTTTCTGACCAGCTCATTACTAGGTATGAACCCAGCCATGGTTTGTTGAATCAGTCCTCATGGCTGGATTCACACGTCAGGAGGGTAAACTGACCCAATCCCATTTTCTACCTCGGTAACTTGTTGTATACATTTATTTGCAAGCATAGGTTTTAGCAAAATTCATATAAAATTGCAACAATCTGTATCAGTTCAATATATCCCCTCTAATATTAACAGCACTATCTGTCAACCTCTGCTTTCATATCTAAAGAAAAATGCTGTTGAGTATCAGTTGCTGGGGTGCAATTATGGAAAAAAGAAAAGAAAAAAGAAAAGAGCCTAACTAGGCAACCAAGTTCTCTCTACCAGGCCTTGAGCCAACACAAAAATACACTGGCATCAAATTTCTTGTCCTGATTGCTGTGCCACAAGAACGAAGCTGGTCACCGCAGCTGTCCTCCCTGTTTTAATGCAGGATAAGTTAAGGAAAGTGAGAGGTGGATTCCCTGCAGTTCGTTATTCCTCCCATTACCTGTTACCTGCAAGCAGAAAAGAACCACCAATCACTCTCCTTAATGGGGGGAGGGACGGGGTGGGGTTAGAGACCTAAACCTGTATCCAAAAATAGCCCAGTTGAGAGGTCACTGGGGTGGAAGAGGGGTGAGGAGTACCAAGCTGTAGCTTGTGGACGACTATTGAAACGGAATAGGGTAAGCAAAATGGTAGTACCCCCTAAAACCGTACAAAGTATGGCCATGCAGAACCTCTTGTTCGCAGAAGCCACGGTGACCCACGATGTACCCCACAGTGACTGAGCCAGCAGTACACAGCTGGCAAAACCTGGTTTCATTTCCTAGCTGAAATTGAGCTTCTGCGCAGCACAGGACTAGGGCCCTTTCAAAAGAGGGCTAAACCCTTGTCTGAAAAACAGGTGTAGTGAGCTTTCCAAAGGGTTCCCAGGCTGTGTTTAAAAAAAACCCAGTCTTTTCTTTCAAAAGAGCATAAACCTTTGTTTATAAGAGGCCTATGTAAGACCTGATAAACGCTCTGAAAAGCTCTACTCAGGCATGAAGCGCCCGAATGATTGTATTTTTATCGTATTTTAATTCATTTTTTTTTGTTTTGTTTTTACTGTAAACCGCCCAGAGTCACTTCCTAGTGAGATGGGCGGTGACCAAGTTTGAAATATAAATAAATGAAATAAATAAGTGCCTCTTCAGGAGCCAGGTATCTGGTCAAAATAGCTATGAAGGGCAGTTCGCAGTGACCCCGAGGGGAGTAGGAGCCAGGCACTACCCTCCCTGGACTGCGTCATCAGCAAAGTGCGCCAAAGTGCATTCACAGCAAAAAAAGTGTCAGGAGGAGTAGAAAAGCAGTATGTAAAAAGTGGAACTAACTGAAGATGACTTTAAGCTGACTTGGGCTGGGGATGAGATAAAAGCTCCATCATGATGACATGGCATAAAGTCTGGTTAGTGGGGCATGTTTGTGCTGAAGTTATGGGATAAACCCCAAAGTTGCCTCTCTCTCATCTCTACAGGCTTCTCAGGGGCATTTGGCTGGGCCATTATGGGGAGATGTTCACAAGCAAGATCCTGGAACTTTGGATCTATTAGAGCAAGTTTCTTTTTAAGTTCTGCAAGATGTTGCATTTTTCATGTTATATCCTATTTTTCTTGCATGAAATTCACAGGCTAGGTTCACAACACCAGCTTAACCTGGTTACTCAACCCATTTTCTGAGTTTTTACACCATAAGCAACTGTCCTAATTGGGTTGTGTGAATGTAATCATCCTGCCCTTGCCCCAGGCTTGCTTGCAATCGGGTGGTTGCATCACAGGTCTGCTAACCAGTTTGGTAGCAAATCAGGCCATTAGCCCAACTGATACCAGGGATAGGCAATCTTATGTTCACCAGATGTTGTGGACTTCAGTTCCCCATAACTCTCAATCAATATGAAGAGGGTTCAAGGGGCAGTCCCAAACATCTGGTGAATACTTGTTGCTTGCTTCTGAGTGATACACACTGACTGGTGGCAGTCAGTCAACTGTGGGAGTCTCGAACTCTAGGAGATGTTAAGGGCTGAATCTGGGCCGTTCTTCAGGGAAAACAAAGACTGCTGCGGAACATGCCTCAGTGGTTTTTCATGCAATTTTGCATTGCGTCCCACATCAGTTTAGCTGCAGAAACAAACATGCAAGACTGGACCTTCCTCTCTCATGCTTACGATATCAATGAGAGTTCTTCTTGGTTTCTCATATCTCAGGGTAAAAATTCCAGGAAACTAATCTTTGTTTCTGGGTTTGAGATGGACTTGTGGCTCACTGGGGGAAAGATATAAATAACCCTCTTCCTGGTTTGAGTATTGTTTTGCAATTTAAGATGTACCAAAGAGCAAAAAGCAACAACCAAACCCTGACTCACAGCTGGGACTTTCAAAAAGCTGTTTCTAGCTAGTGAAAAGGAACTTAGCACTGAGCTGAGCACCAAAAGAACAGTGCAACATGAAAGAAACCCTGTAACCCTGCCTTCAATGAGTAAAAAAAAGTTTCTGAATCTGTTGGGTAGACTTAACTTCAGTATGTTGGTTGGACAATCAGGAATTTAATTCCTTCCTGTTTTGCAATTATTTACATAGAAGGCACACAAGGACACAGTTGTAGGTACTTGCTGTGAGCTGGTTTGTATGTACAGACAGCTACAGTTTCCTAAGCCATATTTTATTAAAAAAAATATAATTAGTTGGGTTCAAACATCAGGTAGATACAGCCTTCCCAACTCCGTTGCCCTCCAAATATGTGAACACATCACTCAGAATTCTCAGTAACAGCTGGGCTTGGACTGGGGAATTCTGGGAATTGGTCTTCACATCTGGAAAGTGCTCAGACTGGGGAAGGCTTGATCTACACAATGCATGAACTCAGTGAATTTTGATTTATATAGTCACCCATGATTAACTAAACTATGGCTTTGTGTGATTTGCAAACCAGTTTATCCTGTAATAATAGATGCATTTTTAGGAATCCTCTGTGTGCCCATATACATCTGGCCAGGCTCTGAGAAGAGTTATGGAAGACCAGTTTATTTGGTCAGTCTTTCTGATTAATCAGACTGAAAAACTGCGCCTCCCCACAAAACTCAGAAACAATCCCACCCAGTTGGATCATTGCCTCACCCACTGAGAGTCTTGCTCGTCCAGATATTTAAATGCAGTCCCTGGGCACCAACGGTATGCCTACTCCTACTTTATCAGAATAATGGGACTATTTTTAGGATTACATTGCATTTTTATCCTATGTAATACACCATAGGAAGGCTTTGCCCTAAAAACCAGTTTAGAAGCAAATAGAAAGAAATAGGTGAGAAGAAGCTTGAGAGTTTAATCTGGAATTTCCCCCTATCTGTAGCAGGCAGCTAGACTGGTTCATCTACTTTACTTTGTCATCAGAACAGAACCAACCAGTTCTCCATTGGAAGGAGATTGTTTCGAGCTCATTAGAAGGACTGATTCAATTATATAATAGACTATTCTCTGTCACCATGATTCTTTCTCAATGATGATTATGAAAGCTTTGTGTGGGTTTTCTTTCTCTTTTTCTTAACCTAATTACATGAACATACCCCATACATGCAACAATTAAATGAACATTTCCTAAAGACGCTTCCAGGCACCCAGCAATCATGGCACAGGCATGCAGATGTCCTCAGGCATGAAATCTGTAGATGAGTTCTGCCTCAGTCTCACTCAGCCTGGTGGGACAAAACACAAGAAAAATACTAACAGTGACAGTAAATCAGTGACCATAGTTTCTTCCTTCCCATCTCTTCTATCCCAATTCTTTATTGTCTCTGATCTCTGGTGGGCATCAAGAGAAGGATACATCCCTAGGCTAGCATCTGGTTTCCCCATCATCATCAGGACAATGAAGTCCCAACACAGAAGACACAATTTCCCTTTTTCTTTTTTACAGGTGTTATGGATTGTGTATATTTATGAATTCGGATTTTTAACTACACAGCAGACTGCAAGGTGTGCTAAGGATTTTTGTTACACACTGAGCCATCCCTGTGGGAAACTGCACAGCAGAAAAAACGGGGCATACCAACTTTCCTGGAATCTCACAGTACTCCACCACCAGGGGTGGTTGACACAGACCAGAGGATCCTTCCACCGCTCTGCTTTAAGCCCTTTGGCAGGTAGGCAAACTCTTTAATCCACAACTACTGTGCCTCCAGCTGCCTCTAGAACTGATTTAACCTTCTCTGCTTCTCCTTTATGAACATTTACTTTGATCTCTTGAGGAAGAGATTCCCCCAACTTCTTTGCCTGGACAAGGTTTATGTTCTCTCCAGGGTTCTTTACTTCCTTGATAACTTTCACCTTGTCTTCAGCTTTAAACCCAGTCAACCACACTGTGAAATTGAGCTTTTCTCCTTTTTCAACGTTCTCTTCTGCCGGTGCTGCAGACATCATCCCAGCCACTGGCATAAGTCCCATAGCTTGGATCTTGAGAGTTTTCTTTAGCAACTCATTGAGATCAGAGATCTCCAGGAGAGTCAGGCTAGCCATGTCCTGAACTAGCTGCTGAATCCTGGGTGAATATTTTTTGGGGGCATCATCCATACAGGGGCTTGCCAAGACTTCACTACACTTTGAGCAGGTGGTCTTCAGCATCCAGACAGCACAGGTTTGTGATACTGCCACAATAACAGTTGGAGAGTAGTACCGAGACTGGCCATGGGAAACATGGCCATATTGGCAGCTTCGAAAGGTCAGAGGTACAATTTTCCTGACCTCATTCTCTGTAGTGTGAGCATGCAATGTTGAGCATGCAGTGCCATCAAGTCGGTGTTGACTCTTAGTGACCACACTTTCTCCATGATGATCTGTCCCTAACCTGGTCTTTCAGGTCTTGCAACAGTGCACTCATTGCCACTGTAACTGAGACTATCTACCTTGCTGCTGGTCATCTCCTTCTTCTCTTTCCTTCCCAGCATTAGAGCCTTCCCTAGAGAGTTAGGTCTTCACATGATGTATCTACATGATGTGAAGACCTAACTCTTGTTTAAACAAGTGCAGCTTAGTGCAACCACCAGGCTGGAGCTTTTGGAGAGGGACTTGAACTGGGACCACTGGAATTGCTTCCAATTTGTCCTACACTGAAGTTTGGCCCTATTCTTCTAGAAACTGTGTCCACAATTATAATCAAAGATATCCTCATGGGGGCTCAAAAAGTCAAGATGGCAACTTTTGTGCATGGGTGGGTCTGCTCTTTTTTTATGTATGTCATGATGCATGTAAAAAGGGACAGAACTCTGATAGTACAGTTGCAGCTGCCATCTTGACTTTTTTGACCCCTCTATCTACCCCTGATTATAATCTCTGTTTCTCAAAACACACATGTCAGCCTTTGAGGTGGGCTAGGTCAAGAAACAGACTCCACAGTGGGATTAGAACTATATTTTATTGCTATAGCAGTGTTTCTCAACCTCGGCAACTTTAAGATGTGTGGACTTCAACTCCTAGAATTCCCCAGGCAGCATGGTTGAATTCTGGGGAATTCTGGGAGTTGAAGTCCACACATCTTAAAGTTGCCAAGGTTGAGAAACAATGGTCTATAATAACAGAATTTTGAAAGCCTGGCTGTGTTTTCCCTTCCCTTCCTCTAATACCCCAGTGAATTAGGGTGGAGCCTATCTGAGCATCTTTCTCATGCTTTCTCTGTTCTTTGGGCTTAAAGCATGCTTTTGTTTTTGTAATGTTTCTGCGTCTTTTCTCCAAGATTATCTCTGTGGGTTTCTACAACACCCAGCTGTACCCAGCTGCTTCTCTTGGTTAGGGCTCCTTTTAGTTGATGGCAAAATGCTAGGAGGCAGGAAAGAAAAGCTAGAGTGATGCAACTCCTGTTTTGGCTCTGTCTTCCCCAAGGAAAGGGCATGTGTTACACCAGGCCCTTGAGAAGAACAGGATGAAGGGGCAGGCCTTCGTTCGTGTGGTTGCAGCTGCACCTTGATTTTTAACTTTGAGAACAGATGAAAAGGGCTACGTGCTACATTGACATCTAAGTCTAAGAGAGCCCTTTTAGTAGATTTTGAATGCAATGGACATTTCCATTGAAAATGATCAGAAACTATATTTAGTTTTTTAAAAACTTTCTTTTAAAAGAAACAATCCCTCATAAAACCCAGAACACTTTCCCAAAAAAGGGTTTGGGGGAGACCGAACAGTGAAGTAGAACACAGGACAGCACCGAAGATTTTGTTTGCCCCAGCCGGTTGACTAAAGAACAGTATGGTATAGTGGTTAAGGTGCTGGACTAGGAGTAGGGAGACCCAGGTTCCTCCCTTGGCATGGAAATTCAGTGGTGACTTTGGGCCAACCCTCCCTTTGGCATGGAAGTTCAGTGGTGACTTTGGGCCAACCCCTCTCTCAGCTCTAGACTGGGAGTCAAAAAACATCTCTCTACTACACTAGACCGATGTGCTAGATTCCAGTCCATAATCTTCAATAAAGAAATCTTCATCCTGCAGTGGATTGATTTGGGCTGATAATCATAACAACAACACTCTGGCTGATTTGTTCTTAATTCTGCCCATGGGGAACCTCTCAAATATATTCTCCATTAAAAATGATTTCTTAGAACTTCTCAGTGGAAGTGGCCTATATTTTCAGGATGAGAGGAATGAGTCATGGGCACCTTGTCTAATCAGAATGGATACTGACTGGGGTAACATTGGGTGAGTAGAGGAGTTTGATGTTTTGCAGGTATACATTAACACCAAGAGCTTGGTCTCTAAAAATAGTAGGTAGGAAAATGTATAACCAAAATATGGGTTTGTGAAGCAGCTCTTAGACCAAACATACTACTACTACTATTACTGCATTTATATTTCACTCTTTCTGGGTGCTCTAGGTGGCATATATGGGGATTCTCCCCATATTTAATCTCAGCAACACCCATCTTGTGAGTTATGCTGGGCTGAGAGAGAGTAACAGCCCAAAGAGATCCTGCGGTGCCAGTCCGGGTCTAACACCTCATGATGGTCTGGTTCACAAATGGTAGTAAGTCGTAATTTGTCATATGTTGTGTTAAAATAATGTATAGCCTGAACTGCTTCAGGGGTTTCTCTTCTGGAATATCTGGCTCTGAGGAATGTCCAAATCTATAGGGAATCCCCAAACATAGAAATCATCTTTAGAAACAGAGGATCTGTAGGAGGAGCAGGGGAAGAGAAACAGGGGAAATTCCCTGAAAACTAGAAGGGGAAAAAGCCAGGATCTTTGTCTTTAGGGGCAAGAGAAAATAAATCTTTCATGTTGGTCAAGGTTTGGATGATCAATTGTGATACACTGGGAAGTTGCCCAACATGTTTATTATGATAGATCCAGGGCCAAAAACAGTTATTATCTATTTAATTATTTCCGAGGGACCATGTAGCCCTCCCGACAGGTTGTTGAAATCTTTTTTTTTTTTTTAGTATATGTCCATTATCAAGGATGATGGGCATAATTGTCCAGAAATGTCTACACACCTACAGTTTTTCCACCCAATTCTGTATACGAAGAACATCACTCTAATTCAGGGTCCAAGGACCATAGTTATTTCTGAGAAAGCAGAGGGCCATAAACTGGGGCCATTTCTCGGAACCCTTTTTTGTTTTGTTTTTTTAGGAATTTGGGTTGGGCTCTTTATTTTTAAAATGTGATGTGCCTATTTTAGAGTTTATACTATAATTTTTATCTGTCCTGCCCAGTTCAGAATGGTAGGAAACTGTGTTGTCAGTTTTCAGCAAGTGTGAGAGGTTTCTGAGGGCCACAAAAGGCAGACTTAAGGGTCCCATTTTCTGGGGCTCTGGATTGCTCACCCTGCACTAAGCCATGGTTTTGTTAAATAAAGCACAGCTGGCTAGATTTAGCCATTGGGTGAAGCCACAAGCCATGCTTAACAAACAGCTGGATATACAAAGAAGTATATCAGATGACCTTTTAGTGCAAGATATGAACCCAATTGGTGAGAACATGTTCTTCAAACTTTGACTCTGATGTAGCCGAAATGGTGCAATCCATCACAAAAAGAAGAGGTCACAAGTGTTCAGAAACTCCAAAGTTAGCAGAAGTACATGATAAAAAACAATTTAGATTAAAAAAAAAAAGTGAGATGGAGATCCATACAAAAACCAAAACAGAATCTGCTGATCCAGTTCAGACATTTAGGAACGTTAGGCAAGGCCTGTTGCGGGACCTCTTCATGAGGTGTATGGCATGTGGACAGGGCAACAGGTTTTCTTGAGGGCAGCCCCCACTCTATGGAACATCTTACCCCCAGAAGTACGGGCAGCCTAACTTTCCATGATTTTAGGAAACAAGTAAATTAAAACTGTTCCAGCAAGTTTTCAGCCTTTAGTTTTGTTTAGGTGACTGTCAAAGAAAGTTCTTTATTATTTTAACTGTCCTGTTTTGTTTTGGTTTTAGATTTTTTATCCTGCCTTTCTTACTTTTATAAATACAGTAACTGAAGATGGCGAACATACCTAATACTCCTTCCTCCTCCTATTTTCCCCACAGCAACCACCCTGTGAGGTGAGCTGGGCTGAGAGAGAAGGACTGGCCCAAAGTCACCCAGCCGGCTTTCATGCCTAAGGCTGGACTAGAACTCACCGTCTCCTGGTTTCTAGCCTGGGGCCTTAACCACTAGACCAAACTGGCTCTTGTTTTTATTGGATTTTGAATTATTTTATGTCACCCAGAGTCCATATGGACTGGGACAGTTTGTGGCGATACAGAAGGCTTTTGTTTCTAGCCAACCATGCCCTTCAGGAAGGCAAGGCAAGCCATACCATTCCCTCTTCCTTCCTGTCTACCCTTTCCAACCTTGTGGTCAACAAGCATGTTTGCTCAGTCCTCATTTATCTAATTCTTTGTTTTGTTTTATTTAACTGAATATATCAGCTGCCCCAGTTCATAGATTGCTAGAGATCTCACTTAAGTTTCTTTTCTAATTTATAATAAAATTTATGACTTCAGCCAATAGAGATATTGAAATGGATAGTGTTTAAAAATGCAGGAAATAAAATGGAGACGCGAGGTGCGGCTCACCTCTCCTCAGGTGTATCAGCAATTGGCATTTCATGCTCTGAACACGCTTGCCTCATCCTGGGGCTTTCCAGATGGGTTGGGGAACAACTCCCATTCGCCCCAGCCAACGTGCCTCATACTAATGAAAGTTGATTAGTTTATGGTTCGGTGAACTGTGGAAACCAAGAAAATGGGTACATCTGATAAGCAGAGCAAGCCTGCTGTGTGAATGCACCCTTGAAAAATGGTCCACGAAGCTTACTTCATGTTGCCGAACCCAACTTCTCTAACTTTTTTTTTAAAAACAGGGCAAAAACTCATAGTTTTATTCTGAAGGATACAAAGAAGGAGAAGGAGAAGTTTGTTTCCTTGGCTGTCCATGATATTTGCAGGAGTCTTCTCCAACACCAAAGTTCAGAAGTGTCAATACCCTTTCTATCCCTCAAAGTTCAATTTTCACTTCCATATAGTATCACAGGAAAAAACATTGCCTACACCAGTGTTTCTCAACCTTGGCAACTTTAAGATGTGTGGACTTCGATTCCCAGAATTCCCCAGCCCACACGCTTGGTTGGGGATTTTTGGGGATGGAATTCCAAAAAATTTAAATTTT